GGAGACCTTATCAACGCCTACAAGTATCTCAAGGGAGGGTTGAAGGAGGAGGGAGCCAGACTCTTTTCAGTGGTTCCCACTGAGAGGACGAGGGGCAACGGGCACAAGTTGGAACATAAGAGGTTCCACTCAAATATGAGGAGAAACTTCTTCACGGTGAGGGTGACGGAACCCTGGAACAGGCTGCCCAGGGAGGTTGTGGAGTCCCCTTCTTTGGAGATTTTCAAAACCCGCCTGGATGTAGTCCTGAGTAACATGCTCTAGCTCTAGGCAATCCTGCTTCAGCAGGGGAGTTGGACTAGATGATCTCTATGGTCCCTTCCAACTCTAGAAATTCAGTGAAATTCAGTGAAATTTGGCACATCACAGCCTCAAAACTGCTGAAGTAAAATAGAGAGTTGTGAAGTGCTGAATCTCTCCTCCACCTTCCCCCCAAATCACCCTGCCACTCAAGTAACTTCTTAATTTTCATTGGTTCACTCAGGAACATTCATCTGAGACAGAATGAGCTTTATGTATTTTTCAGTGATGCCCTCTTTAATTCAGTGTGCCAGGCAATTAAAACTTCCAAAATCAGAGACAAAAAAAACCCCCATGACCGGATGTTTCCAAGTTGTGTTGCACTAAGATTTGTTTAAGAGCAGGAATCTTACAGAACTCTGATTCCCTGCTTATAAAAAGCCATTTACAAATGTATAGTTATTATACTGTAGACTTATTTAAATACAAGAATGACCATCCTGGTTCTAAACAAGTAAGTGTCCATGCAGCCCTGTGCCTTGTCTCCAGTGACAGCAGCTCCCTGACCCATCCATGATCTTGAGCTGAAGGGGATATAGGGGCAGATCATCTTGCCAGGGATGGGATTTATTAGAGACAATCTGAGCACCAGAGAAGGCTTAAAACGTAACTCCACCCTGAGAGACACATATCCTGGAAATCTGACCAAGATACAGGACGAGATACTCACGTACCACAAGGGGACAAAGTACAAATGAGAATAACTCCATTAACCTCCAGTATACAGGGCCATTTTTGTTTAATTAATCCAGATACTGTCCTAGTCCTCCTAATTATGTAAATTTTTAATCTCATTTTCAGAGAAGAAATAAATATTTAAGTGGTTTATTCAATTATATATTAGATTAATATTTAACCAGAGTTTATCGCCTTTGGAAGAAAAAAGAAAGGGGAAAATAGCTCCTTATATAAAGTTTGAAATCTCTAAACAGCAATTAAAAGCATTTTCCTAGCTAGTATACAGCTATCTAAGAAATTGAATCTAATTACTACTGTTACTATTCCCAGCTGACAAGCAGTTTACTATGTAAAATAACTAAGATATAGTAGAAAAATAACTAATCATCATCATGTCTGATGGAAAACACTTTTCACATATTGTGAACTGTGCATTCTTGTAACTGATAATTTGCAGAAGAAATGTTTTTCCATAAATAAAGCCCTTTCCAAGCTGTGGCTGCAGAAGAGAGATACTACTCAGACGTCTCTCTTCAAAATTACCATTCCGTATTCCACATGATTCCAACAAAGTGCTTGCCTCAGCCAGACAAAACTTTTTTCCTCCAAAAAGAGATTTCCTATTACTTAGGAGATAAGATGAATTTTGGTCTTTTCTTGTACTGAAAATTTTGTGATATACCCTATAAGGTATGCCATAGTCCCTTTGAAAGAAAACCTGAAGCTAAGCTGCAAAAGTTATAGGCACATTTCAAAATGCAATTCTTGCAGTCTTCTCCTTTGCCTGTTTTGGAGTGAGAGCAAATGGTTAGCTGTGTCTCTTAGAACAAATTTACTTTTATTCTGAAAGCTAGCCTTTCTCCACATCTGGTCTTTTCATTCTGAATGGAAAAGAAAAATGCAAGAAAGAAAAAGAACCCCAATGCAATCTACTAAAATTGTGTACGATCACTGTACATCAGTATTTCAAAAATATTAATTCCTATAGAAAAAGGCCTGATCAGGCCTTGCTGGTTTTGATCTTAACTATTTTCCACCCCAGACTCTGCATTGTAAGTGTTGTCAGTCATGTCTTTCCATGCCTTTAAAAACGGTTATCACAAATGAAGACTGTATTCATACCACGTTCCAGATGTCATCTGTATCCGACTGGAGACCTAGACATGAAAACTGTGGCTAGATCAAAAAAGATGACCTGCCTATTATTTGCTGAGGTGAAAAACACCTGAGGCTATGAAGAAAGGAAGAAATAAGGAACTCAAGACCCAGATTGCAATATTCAGACAAACATCAAACATGGACAAGCTCATATGAATATTTAAGAAACAATATTTTAGAAAAATAAAAGCACATAAAAAATAAAAGCACCAGGAAAGAAAGATGGATTCTGCAACCTCCAGCTATGGTATGTGGCAAAACCTAATGTGAGGACATGGAGATCTTATCTGAAAATTCAGTATATTGAGATTTATACTTCCAAGGTGGTTTTATTTGTGAATGATTTATTACATGGTCATTAAGCAGTTGTTAAACATATCTTGGATAAACATTGATTTATGACAACACAGATATCCTAGATATGTTCAACTGGCAAAAGTACATATATTGCTCTCCAGCAATACTTGAAAAATAGCCAGAAAAATCCTCGCTAGTGTAACTGAAAGACTGATTATATGTTTTAGGCTCCCATGGCTGTTTCTTAAAGAAGGGTTTAATGTACTTCCCACTTAATCTCTCCTTCTCACTTAAAATTCCAGATTTACAAGGAAATTTTATCTCTATTACTATAAACTTGAAACTCAAAATTTGTACGTAAGAGCTGATAAAAAGGAAAAGCAGACACTAGTGACATTTTTCAGCTACCACCTTAACACTGTGCAAGGACTGAAGGCTGAGGTACTTAATGCCTTCTTTGCATACTCATAATTTCCCCATGTATGGGGATAGGTGGGCATCTTCACTATTGGCTATTATAAACACTATTGGCTAGTTATAAACAGGTCTTTCAACAGAATGCTTAAGTACATCTTGGAATAAGCAGCAATTTGTACAAAGTAAGCAGCAATTTGTACAAAGTAAGTGAACCCAAACATAATAGGCTTCTTGACTGTTACCTGATACTAACAAAATAATTCTTTTTAGCTCTACAATTCCAGTTATTTGATACCCACACTCCACAATCAAAGATTAAAAGCACATAGTAAACATGTTCCTGAAACGCTCTGCTTACCAACATACCCTGAAATTCTTGAAACAATTAAAACGCCTGCATGCAACTCACTAGATGAATACTGAACAAGTCATTATATTTCAAAATTCTAGAGAAGGAGAGTAAGGCAGTCACAGCCAACAGGCTGGAGCACAACGGGAACACAAGAATCCTGTCAGAGCCAACACCTTCTGGGAGAAGGAGGGCAGCTCAGCCAGCATTTTATCAGTCCCAACACAAAAGGAAAGGAAGACTACACAGAAAGCAAACCAGAAAATGTCAGGCCTGCTGGGGAGTAGAGCTTCAAAGTCTGCAATGATGTAAAAGAAGTGCCAGACAACAGCAGGAATGTTAATGAAACTGACACAGTATTTAATAAACCCCTCTCGGCCAGTTTACCAACACCAACATGAGCAAGGCAGAAGAATGAATAAAATATTCTGCTTCATATATGCCAATTCTCCTTCCAGCCACAAAAACCCCTTCTTATGTGCTGTAATTTTAAGTGAAGTCTATAGTTAATGTTGTTATTAATAAAAATATCAAGCCAGACATCCCAGTTTCTTAATTTTTTTATTATCATTGGTCTATTCTTGAACTAATTTGCACCTACTCTTCCTGTTGCAGGGCACAATAACTGACTCATCTTTTTGCTCAAGTAGTGGAAGACTCTGTAGTCTGAACCTGATGTCTGCTCAGGGCACATTTAGTGGAGATAACCCTGACTGGTGCCAGGAGCAGACTTCTCCTGAAATTTCCCTGGAGATTTGCACCTGCTTTTTTTTTTTTCTGCTGTATTTGGAAAGACATTATTTATGGCAGAGGAGGTCTATTTTATTCATTCCTATTGCAGCTGATACAACCAATTCCCGAAAAATTGTTCATTCAAAGTGTGGCATTTAAGAGCATTACCTCCACTTGGCTTCTCCCTGAATAAAACCACATATTTCATACTTTGAGCTGTCTGTAATTCATTCTGTGTCACATGAATCTCCTGCCAATATCCCCGCCAGTGCTGCCTAGTCTACGATTTTGTTCTTAGGTAGTCAATGGTTGTTTCCAGTATCACAAACTACCAGTATCGCTGTAACTACCCATAAGATACCCTCTTTCTCTGAAATTTGAAAGCCCTGCAGTTCAACATGGGACCTGAAAGTTATGTGGGGCTTTTTCCATTTTGCGTTTTGCAGGTGAGTAAAGGCTTTCAGTAGTCAAATGATTTCTCTAGTGACATTAGTGCAACACTGCTATGCTATTGGTATGCTTGGACAAGCACCACTGATAGGTCTTAACACTGGCATTTTGCAAGGAATTGTGCTTCCATAGAAGATAGAGAACTGCAAAAAAATTACATTCTCTGCTTTCTATCTGAGTTCTGTTTGTTCTACTGTAGTAAAAGGAATGAAACGTAGTGTAAGTTTATTTCAACCATTGGAAGGACTAATTTTGATTATGCTAAAGACATACAAGTGCCGAAAAAGAAGGTTTAATCACGCTTTTAAAAGACAAAGAACAACTGCAGATCTGATCCAAGACAGAATTAGCCATTTGACTACTTTAGGTGCGAATTGAATTTCCAGTGAATTAAGAGGAATTTTTCCATTGATTTCTTTTACCTTGAGCTAGATCTTTAATTATTAGAAATGCAGATGGACTTTATGCTCTCTCAGGACTCTCTCTCTCCCTTTGGGTGACAAAGAACTAATTTGAAGGCACTAGTCTTTAAGGCATGAACTGAGAAATTGATTTTTTCAAAGGTGAATCCAGAAGGAAAAGTTTTCATCTTGTGATCAAGATACAATAAAGTACTCACTGATGGATCCTTTGTTGGCTGAATGGAGCAGTATAGCAGTCATTCTCCTCCAGATCTGGCAGTGTCTCCTTGTCCAGTTTCATTGGCTTTCTAGGTAACCATCCTCGAAACCTGCTTATTTGTTTCTCGATCCTGCAGCACATGAAAAGTGTGAGCATTTGAGATAATGCTTTTTTCATTACATTACATAGCACTTACAAAGAACACATGCTGGCAACCTAGGCCACTTAATATTTACAACTGGAAAAGAAGCAATATCTTTTGACTTTTTTGAGGCAGACCAAATTATATATGCTGAACTTGATTATTAATAACCAGCTTTCAGCAAAGGAGCATCTTATTTTGTCTCAACAGAAAAGCAATGCTGATAGTACATGCTGCTATAAATCTTATTAAGCCCAGTAAGATCTTGGCAACTCTCTAAACCTTTATTTCTCAGCTTTTCAGACAGTTTAAATTTCAGGCTTAATTAACACATTAGACTTTGGACATATACACATTAGAAGAGCAGATACTGTGACAGAGAGCTTTGGCAGCTGAACCCCAACAAGTTGCATCCCTTTACTGCTCTCAGTATGAATTCTTACCCTGCAATTGATACTATAAAAAATAGGCTACTGTGTTCATTTGGTTCAATTGTAGTGTCTTGCAGTACTACAACCTCCACGAAACCAGAATATTCAGTGTATAGCTTAATAGGCGACTGCTACACAGATTCTTGCACTTAGAAGGTGAAAGCAAACTAAGATCAAGGTGGAGAAAGGACAGATTTAATTGCAAGTGCACTCATGCAAAGATGCACGCTGAAATGAAGGGAAAGAGAAGAATCAGAGCTGATTGGAGAAGACAATCTAAACCAAATTCAAATCCAAACTAAAAAGTTATCATGAAAAACACCTCAGAAAGATGAGTTATGTCTGGCACAATGAGCCCGACTCTCTCAGAAGTTCCTAACACCTTCAAGTCCTAATCAGTGATCCCTGCCTGCAAAAATCATAGATGGCAAATTGTGGACTACGCACATACTTCAGTCACTGGATGAATCTAAAGGGCACAAATTGACATCCTTTGAAGTTTAAGTTGACATCTGATGAAGTTCAAGGACTGGAAATGTAGCTGTTTCTTTTCTTTTGAAAGAAGTCAGCACAATAACTCTATGACCAGCAAATGTTGAGGTGGTGAGGAGGGAGGGTGTGGACGGTTATTTACTATCAAGACTGGAAGAACTGCAATGTGTGTGCAAACATCACATAAGACTTATACTAAATTAATCATAAACTCTTCATGGGCAGTGTTTGCACTGGTGTAGAAGTTCAGAGCACAGGAGGAGGTAGTTTGCAAATGCCTGTGCTCAAGTCCAGGCGAGATGTCAGATCCAGGGCTGTAAAGGGTCCGACCAACAGTAATTCTCCAGTTGCAGCATCCAGCCTGAGAGCTTTGAGCTAGTCTGTGCAGACACTGATAGGAATGACAAGGGAAAAGTAAGTTCTCTAAAGGGGAATTCCCTGTCTCTTGGCCTCCAGTTTTTCCTCTCTAAAGGCCACAAGCTCTGCTTTACTGTATATTCGGCAGGCTTACTGACTAAGTATGGAAAAAAGATGAATCAGGCAGAAGGATTTTCTAAATGTCCCATTCCATGCTTATTTGCTAAATAAATCGTTTGAATTCTCTAAGCTATTAACACTCTTGCTAATCTGCAATCCTTTCCCATTCATCCTGCAAGTCAATGTGCACATTTGAGATACGCGTGCTGCAAGTTTATCACACCAGGCATGCAGGCACGGAGTGCTGTCCCCACTTAAGAGCAATGCATTATTCATGTTGGCTTCTCACTGAATCTACCCAGAATTTGACTGGTTTGCCATTCCTGAGACTCAAATTACTTGGCATGCTCAATGAGCCTACTGGCAAACATGTCTGAGAAGGTTGCAAAGCTTTTCTGCAAGGCCCAGAACACACACTACAGCAAAGCCAACCTAGGGAAAAAAACAACTAGTTCTCTCCTTGGAAAGGAAAAACGACCAGATTCTTAAAATTACCTCCAGCTCACTCCAACAGTGCCATCAGCCAGCAGAGTAGGCTTTGTACTCTACTGGAGCATCTCTCAAAAAAATAGCTGAAAGAGTGGCCTTTGTGCTAACAAACACAGGCACACTGTGTTTTATCATTTTGTCAAACCTAATCCATGCCTTTCCCTTAGAAGGGGAAAGTTTATATACTCAGCTGAATAGGGGAACAGCATTTGGAAAGCAGAGCAACCTACACAAGAACAACAGAGTGCATGGAGAGATGAGGCACTGTAGTAGAGTTAGCCACAATGAAAGAAGAGTGGAAGATCTGATAATAATATCCTTCTTAAATTCCAAGTGTTAAAAAACACTTGTTACCTTTATAAGGCAAAAAAATCACTCTCTTAATTCACACAGTGTCTCTTCCACTTCAGTCCTGCCCCTGCTATACAAGCCTAGTCTTTACTCAGTACCCTCTTTCTGAATATACTTACTGCGCTTAACTTCAGGGTTTCTCAACTAATTTCAAATAAACTGTTCTATCACTAGGCAGAGACGTAGGGATAGAATCATTTTTTCAAAGCAAAGAAGAAGGTAGGAAAATAAAAAGAAAAAAAGATGTTTTGAATCAAGACTGATTTTTATTTCTGGATAGAGCTTTACGCATATTGTAGTCCTAGATATTCTCTTAGTGTACTTTTTAACCACAACACAGGTACTGTGTAGGTACCTGATACCCCTCCTTTCTCTAAAACGTATTAAGGGAGTTTTGTTATTTGAAATCTTGATATCATTAGAATTTTTCAGAGAGAAAAGTCAAGTCAGGTTGACAATTTGTAAGTGACGCACTCTGGGCTTTGCCTTTTAATTAAATAAATTTTGCCCAAATGTCAATATAAAATTTGGCTTATCTCAAAAAACGGACCAAGGCTTCAGTTATTTCTAATCTTCACTGAACTAGGGGTAGAGGAAATAGATACTTTTATTGAAGCTGTATATCTGAGTCTCACATAAATGAAAATAAAGCTGAATATGTTTTCTTTTTTCCCGCTGGGACTATTCAGTTATAGTTTTTCCGCCTCAAGTAGCTATTTATAGATCTGAACATAAAAATTGAATTTAGCCAAGTGTTCTCATCACTCAAGAACTAAAATACCAGAAAAAGATCATACCTCTTTCCATACTGACTTCAAATCGCATCCTGACTCATAAGAAAATGAATGTAAAGCAAAATTTCACACACCACATATAAATATTAGAATCTTCACCTACTCCTTCTTATCTATTGCTTTAGTCAAAGCAGTCATATCTTAATTAAAATCAAGACAAATTCCAAAGTTAACAGCCACTATAGCATTTATTGTAAGGTGGAGAGAGAAAATGGGGAGCACCCACAAGCTCTAGAAGAATTGTGTGCATTTATAAGTCTGTGCTGACTTGGTAAAATGCCTTAACTCCACAAAGAGTTCATTTGGTGTTACTAATATAAAGAAGCAAATGCTATAACAGAGAAAGATCAATGCTGGTATTCTCCAGTCACCAGCATACTGTGATGGAATTTAATATACAAAATGCTTTTTAATACGTTCATACAGCAGAGTCATAATATGTGATTTATTTTCCCATAGATATTCATCTACTGACGCTATCTGAAAAGTGATACAGCTGTTTAATCCAAAATGCAGATTTTTCAAATTTAATTATTGTCTCTCAGAGGTTCAAGGAACTGACGTCAGAGTGACACAGTACATCAAATGCTAGATCCTTTTGAAAACTGCATCAACAGCACTGTGGCATTAAATGATCTGGTCTTTTCCAAGTCTGTATATTTTTTAGGCTTTTTGGAGACATTTTAATTTAATTGTCCAAGGTGTCAAAAAGCAAATGCACATTGCAGCATTGGAAATTTTCCGTTGCATTGTCAGACACAAAGCCAGCATCAAACATAACCTTATTTAATAATTGAGTGAAAGCACTTCAAAGATTCTTGAAAAATACTCATATCTCAAGCTCAGTAACATTACACCAGAGATGAACTTGGTTCATTGCCTTCCTATCTACCAACAAAGCGCTAAGCATCCCAACAGAGGAAGCAATAAATAAATAATGCCATTGCTATTACAAGTAAGCAAGGTGCATGGAAATAAAAAAAACCCTGTAACAGTGGTATTTTAACCCCAAGAAACTCACTAATGAGCTACATGAAAAGATAGACATATAGTGTTTGCACTAACACACTTACTCTTCTTTAAAAGATTTCATCAATTGAAAAACATTTTCTTATTCCTAAAAAAGGCAACACTGAGAAAATGAATTGCCTCTTTCACATTGCAGATGCCTTAAAAATGCAACTTTTGTATTTGTTTTTGCAGATGTCCTCGTGTGCCATCACTCCCTCCACCCTTCCTACAAAAAAAGCTAATAAACTTTTCCTTCCAACTTGACCTTAACCATTATTTTTGTTATTGAGTCCAAACGAACATAAACTGGACTGGCATGTGAATTCTACTCACCTATTCATGAACTTGTATCGGCGGTGCAGGTAATAGATTTTTCTCCTGGAAGAACAGCAAAAATGAAGCCAGTCGAGAAGAAAACCCATCGTCAGTTACAGTATGAACTAGCAAGGAAGGAAAGGAGATTGAAGACAGAAGCCTGTAAGAGGTGGAGGAAGAGACTAAAAGAGAGATTAACAGAACTGTCACAGGAAGCCACACAGACTCTGGTGGCATTTGAATTGCAAGAAGGTCATAATTTTCCCATTGTCTTCTTCTGTTTTGCTATTTGTCATATATGAAAGGTAGGGACCCAAAGATGTTTCTATTTCAAAGAAGTCCATAAACCGTTGCAGGAATTCTACAGGGCTGATATAAATATGTATAAATTGTCTCACATCCACCAGTGAACGATTAAAGCTGCATTTGGTGAAACACAAGAAGGAGCCACTTAGAAAAGCCAGGACAGTGGTGGTGCTGCAATATGACACAACACATGCAGTACCAACCGGGACCAGTGCTTGCTGTTGGGGTAAAATCCTTTGAAAAAGAATATAGGCTACACAAGCTTGGGCTCTCCCCCCTTCCCGGGTATGTAGTCACTCCCTCTGCCCCTCACACAGGCACAGCTGATTCCTGTTAGTGCAATAAGCTGCGTGGGAGGGTACGTGGGGAACAAGTGAGCAGACAAGGGTGTGCAAGCAGACACATGCTGACCACACTCTTGGCCCTGACCAGCCCTGACCATCCTGTGTAGACCCAGAACAGGGAGTCCACCTCCTGTCTCACTCTGCTGCTGGCAGCTCTTGTTCTGCTCATATCTGCCTATAACACCACAGCTGTCAGGGTTTGACCCATCACCTTCAGCAGAGAGATCACATCTTCATGAGAATTAAGAAAATCTGAGGGTTTTTAGGTGTGGGTTTGGGACTGATACTCCTTACTGGAAGATTTGGGTGCCTGCCTGAACTCTGGCTTCTTCCTCCAGAGGCTGACTACAAAGGTCCACTGAAGGTCATTGCTCAATCAAGGTGATTTCTCTGTATTCTGAGAGGTTCCATCGTGTAACGCTGACCTCTACCACTTATGGAAAATGAAAGGCTCACACCACACATATTCTGAATATTTGTGTATAGTATATATACTGTAGGGATGGCGTTAGTGCCTTGAAAGCAAGCACAGTTGAGAACTTTCTAAAATAAGACAGCACCGATTCTTTATAAACTATAGAAAAAAACTGGTTAGTATTCCAGGTTAACTTTTAGAACTTAGAATTTAAATAATACATAATATTTTGACATTATTTTTGTTGTCAGTGTCCATATTGTGCTGGTGAAATTTTCAAAATTTCAAAAAAGTGAAATTTTTAAAACAGTTTCATGTTGGCCAGCCCATTTTGGGCAACTCCTCAAGACAGTGTTATTTACCTTGCTCTACTTAGCACTACCAGAGAAAGGTCAAACCTAAGTGTTTCTGAAGTTGCCATCCACTTACTGATTTTGCTTCAAATATTCAGAGGTATTCACTGTTTTTGGCACCCCTGGTTTGAAATAGCAAGGATTTTATTCACTGATGTGTGGACCTTGGACAACTGCAACCTAAAACATCGGGAGCTCTAAGTAATCAACAGCCCGTGAAGCAAGGGGTTAGACAAGAGCACCTAAAAACAGGCAGTCTAGACTAGTGGGCATTTTGTAAAATGCTGGTCATTCATTTTAAATGGTAAACAGTACTGTTGCTCCTAATAAAAAATTTAAGAGTCTGCCTACCAGACGTTAGTAAATCACCATGATTTCCTCTTAACAAAACTGCAATAATTCTCTCTCTGTGGATGTGGAAAGAATGAAGCCGTGGTACCGAATAAGGTCAAGAAACCTTTACTATTTCCAATGTTTTCTGTATAATCTGTATGGCATCTACTTTGATATCTGCTGAGAGACTTATTTAAAAAATGGAACTTCAGATCAGGAGAGAACAAGGCTGCTCACAGTGACTAAAATCTGAGGTCCTTATGCTCCTAATGGGGCAGGTTCATCTCAAGGAATGTGATCGAAGTCAAAGGAGGTGCAATTTTGGGCCAGCCCATTGTTTGTATAGCTAGAATACTTTTTAAAATAATATATGGATATCTTGTAATAATTTGTGATAACTTTTATATTTTTCTCTTTAGCACTAAAAGCACAAGAAGGAACAGTTGAAGATTCGCTGTGAAAAATGAAAACCAAAATACATACAGAATAAGCCTGCAATTTTGTCCTTAATTCATATCCATTTTTCCTAGTAAGTTCTATACTGTTACAGCTTGTCTCATACCAGAGGCATTTTTCACCCTTAAGTAAGAAGAAAACAGAAGAAATCCTACAAAGGACACCAACTCACTAGTTGCATATTCTGGGTCTGATCCTTTTCTTGCTCAGGAGTAATTCCATTAAAATCAATGGAGTTATGCATCTATAAACCCTGCTAATTGAAAGAAGAATCAAGACCTCTCAGTTCATGGGTTTTGGTCAGTTCCAGAGGAAGTCTTTATGCTATTTTAACAGTTCTGATAACCAGCAGAGTAAAATCAATATTTTACATAGAAAATTTCATAGCCCAACATGCAAATAATATTAAATAAATTATAAAATTAATCTGAATGACAGTGTGGAATGAATTTGGTTATCAGTAGCATTTAATATGTTCTTTATTTTCTCCACAGAAAAAATGCATTAATAGTCTGAATTGTTCTCCTATTAGATGTGATACTTATTTATAATCTGTATTTCCATAATTACACACTATACAAGCAATTTACAGGTGCTAAACATACCAGATACGTCCAACAGACATGCACCTTCTGTGCTGCCTTACGTACCTGGATCTTCTTGACCTCCCATTGATTTCAATGAAATGTCCATTTAAAAAACAGCAGCGCACAAGTATGCAGGGGGCTCCAGCATTGAAGGGGTTAAAGGGCCTAAGGATAGAACACCCCATGAAAACAGCTGCACTGCTACAGCTCGCCTTAATTTCAAACCAGTATTGTACTGAAATTGCAGGCATTAACAAGAAACAGCAATGAATAAAGTATCTAAGGTACTCCATTTATATTTTCTAAAGGTGTGTGATATCTTATAGAAGAGCTTTTCCATGTGCATTTTGGTGTTATTATTGTATTAACTTTACAGTATAGTGTGATTTCGGAGGTTGAGACAAAATACAACTAGACCTACCTGAAAGGCATTCTTACATTCATTAGTTCAGCATATTTGCCCAGGACCTCCCAAGGGGCATGCAACTTCACAAAGATGATATCACTGTTTGTTAGAGATGACTGCAAAAGAAAAACAAAACGGCCACCAGGGCTTACTTTTTCAAGTAAAAAAGAAAGAAACTGTAGTCAGTTGTCACCCCTTCCACTTTCTGATTCTTCCTCAAGCACAAGTACTTCTACCAGTATTTTGTCAACTCATTTTCCTTCTGGTTTCCTGAAAGCCATGCTGTGACTCCCTTCTGGCCCACATGTGCATTTCCTTCACATGGAAAAGAGGACATGGAGGGGAGGCTAACGTGCAGCTGTGGGTTACCCAAATATGGGGTGGGAATAGGATTGGTGGGTAAATCTGGGTCTGGAAGCTTGTTCCTGAACTAACTTCAGGTAAAAAGCAACATGGCAAGCCAGGATCTGTTTCTGTCGATTGACTTGGTTTTCTGTGCTCACACAGAAGTGCAGATGTCTGGAGGCAAATCTACCAGCAAAGAAAAGTCTTGCCCAGGGAGGTTGAGGGCCCTGACTATGCCACCAAGATCTCTTCACAATCCTACCATCTTCATTTCTATGGGTTGTAGCGTGAAGAGGGCTTTATGCAGGGTATGCACACCAGAATGGCTGTTACCTAACAGAAGGCTGGCTGATGAAGAACATATAATACGCAGTAAAGAGGAGAGGGGGAGACATTTAAGTCTGTTTGCACTCAGGAGGAGAAATAGGGCTTTACAAGGAAGCTACAGCGGGGCTGGCTGAAACTAACCTGAGAACGCAGACAGTCGCATGTTAATACTGGAATATAATTGTTCAAATTCTAATGAAAATCAATGAAATTCTCATAAAATTGCATACAATACAGCTTTAAACAAAGGAATGATCACATTAACAGGGACAGCTACTACAGCCTGAGTTCGAGGAATACCCAGGAAATGGGCAAAGGTGTACAGGGTGTGAGAAAAAGAAAGCATGATGACTGAGAAAACCGAGCAAGAAAATTGTTAATTCGCTTTCGGGATGATTTCCTAGTTTTTTAGACATTGTACTACATTCAGCGTTTCTCACATTAATTCTTGGTTAGCACGACTTACTGGAAGTTCTTAAATCTAGTATTGTTTACCTGGAAGCTACAGATAAACATGGGTGGGAGGCTGATATTTAAACTTCTGATGCCTATTTGATTCTTCCCTCTGCTGTCCTGACACATACTGAAATTATTGAAACTGCTGTAGCATGTGCATGGCCTTACAGTAACTCTTTACAGTAGTTCTTTAGCACAGAAAAAAATAATAATATCCCAACCCAGTCACTACAGAGTTCATATTTTTTTAAACAAATAGCATATCATAATCCTCAAAAATGGACACAGAAAAATATTTGTACCCAAAGTACTACTGGGCTGAATGAAAAGATGGATTTAGCACATAGCGGAACAAGTGATATTCTGATACTAAAAACTGCAGAAAAAAATCTTGTAATTCTTTTGCTGAAGACTTTCTGAAAATATTTGGACATGAAATGATATAACAGCAACAAAACACCCCCAAGAGATGTGCTTCAGAGATAATGAATTGAATCCATTGACTTTTATGGATTCTAAATCAGGCTTCTAATGATGTTTTCCTTTATAGGTATATTTCACAAATTATCTTTTATTTTCACATGAGACTTCAGCTATAAATATCACAAAATGAAGACTAAGTTCTGCTACGCTAAAAATTTCCTGCAAGCTACTGCCTCAAAGATGAGGTTAAGTCAGCAATGGACTGGTAATTTTGTCATAAACAGCTTGGATTAAAAAAAAACCACAAACCAAACCCACCAAAATTCAAAAGAACCATCTAATAAACCCAATATACAGAAGGAAACTGTGGTTCTGACACAACAATAAAATTTGAGAAATGGAGGAAATTTGTTAATAACAGCCTATAAATTTAACAATGGCTGTTAAACTGGAAGCTCACAGGCATTTTCCAGCACGTTGCACTTCAAGTCATACCAGATATGGCAGCCACAGTAACATGACTTGTGGAGATACTGTTTCACAAGTGAACACTATCTTAATCTAAATTTGATTTCTGATGTGTTACAAATGTTCACACAGAAACACAAAAAACTTCCATTGAGTTATCACAATACAGACATTTTAAGAATATTTTTTACTCAGTATCTTGTAATGTTATTTTATCAGCTTTGTCAACAAGAGATCTAATCAAAGTACATTTGGGAGGTTCAGTTATTTTCAGGAGAAAGAGATAATAATGCTAAATTATTGATATGAAAATCCTTTTCTCTTGGGTTTGCTCATGGTAAGTGGTCATAAAGGAAAGCACTAAGAAAGCCTGAGAAAAACAAGATTGGGAAGAGAAGAACAAATACAGATGGAGGAGTAATTGAATGAAATGTCACATTCACTTAATCTAAGGAGAAAATAGCTAATCAAAATACCTGGAAAAAATATCAAGAGTACCATCTTAGTTACAAAAATACTTCAGTGAGTGGAATCTCCTAAACTTTCTTTGTTAGATTAGTATTAAGACACAGTATCTTTCAGCTTCTAAATGTTTCATTGAGAGGAGACGAGCATTCTTCTGTTGCAATTGACTTTCGAGGCTTGGCTCATTAAATGATTTGGAGAAGTAAACTCAATTTCACATTATGGGAACATACAAACAAAAATCAATGTAACATTGCTCCCCTTGGAAATTTAAATAAGATGACTATTGACATGAGCAATCTGCTAGAAAGTGATGTTTAGATGATGAAGAAAGAAAAACAGAGGATTCAAGGGGACAGACGATGAGATAAAACACTTTGTAAACACAAAAATAAAGTAAGTGTTTGGAATTGACCTGCAGTACCAGTGCCCATAGAGTTATCACCATATGATAACTGCCAGGTCACCAATGTTCAAAGAAATTGGTTGTTTCAAACTGATTTCTTGAGGAGGAATATCAATAGCAAAAAATATTTTTTTGGGTTCAGTAATAAAATTCTTGATGGTCTTCAGAGCGGTGCAAACCCAGTGTGACCAGAGTCTCATCAGAATCAGAGAACTGCAGACTTACAAAGTTGGAAGGGACCTCTAGGGGTCATCTGGGCTAACACTGTAGCTAAAGCAGGGCCAACTTAGATCAGGTTGCTCAGGGGCTTTTCCCATTGAGTCCTGAATACTTCCACAGGCAGAAATTTCACAGCCTCTGGGCGACCTGCTTACTGAAATTGGCTGGAGAAAAGAATATTTTCTATATTCTATATTCTACAGAGAAGCGTTGGTTGAAAACTACAAGTTTGTAGGCATGAAAATTCATGAAAATTCAAAATGTTCAATGCAAAGACAGCATTCTTTATAAAACAACATGCGTCTTACAAGAACTCTTTTTAAATCATTGTTCTGATCAGGAAGAAATAGCAAAGTGCATTTAGATTAATTGAACCCGGATCTTCAAAACAGGTTTGTGTGGTAGAATTCACATCACCAGAGTCTGGGTTACAGATAGTCAATATACAAAGAGTTTCCATGTTCAGTGCTATTAATCTACTCTTTTTTAAAGGTGTAATTTTCCCCTCCTCCTTTCCATTCCCCAATCCCCTTCTACAGCTGGAAATCATATTCCATAATTAATGAAAATAATAGATTAGTATTTGATAATCACAAATTTGTATAGCCCATATCTCTGTGTCAGAGATATTCACTAATTTCAAAACTTTCTGGCTTCACTGAAAAATCACTTTAGTAGCACATGATTGCTGCCAGTCCTAGACTATAGCCAGTACCACAGGCCCACATACTATAGACTTGCCCTTCCAGCAAGACTACCTTTCTCTTTTACCATTAAGTTTATACAAACATGCTATTTCCCAAAGAAAATAAATTAACCACAAGCACGTTTAAAAACAAAGCTCCATATTCTTCTCCAGTGTCACTATATATGCAGTGGGAGAAACTAAAGTGGGGGCCATTTATGTAACTGCAAAAGCATAAACACCTGCTTTGGTGAGTTATAGTCATCAGCTGGGCCAAGGAAAACTTGTGAAGGGCAGGTTCTTATTCTCTTTCTGAAAGTGGGCACAGAGTGGTGTTAACTGCTGTTTAATTTAAGTACTGGCTACTAAACTCATATGTACTCCTGCAGGCATTCTAAGTCCTTTTGATGGCAGGATTTAAATATATGTATTCACTATTGACCTGACTCTGCTTGTTCTGAAGTTATCATTGTTAGTTTGAATGGAAGCAAAGTTATGCTGACATTGAACGCCTCTTGAAAAGCCCATATTTTGCTGTATTTGAGGGCTGTGTTCCAGGATCAAGGCTGGAGATTAGCATCTTTTGTCAAATGCCCTCTTGAACATCCTCCTCCAACAAAGAATTTTTTTGGTTCATTATCAATAATATTGTCAAGTCATTTTAAGACAAAAACAACTGTGAGTCTAAAAGTTAAGAAAGTTGAGAAGAAAGATTCATAGCGTATAACCTTGAAGAAGGATAAAATCACAGTGCCCCAACTGAATGGTGTGATTGTTTATTTGCCTTGAGGTTACTAGACAGGTAACTATAAAAACCTAATGTGCTCATTTAGGTATGCTTATCAATACGGAAAAGAAATCAGGATTTACCATTAAGGTGTTTTCCCTATCATTATTTAAGAGAAAAATATTCAAGACTGGGGCTCTCCTCACCTTTGAAAGCCTTCCTTATAATTGTAAGAGGAGATAAAAAAGAATTTGAAACAGATCCAGCAAACAGAATTTAACCTTGTCTACTTTAGCAAGACCCTGGCAAGACAAGTTAAAAATCCAGAATGGGAACAGTTCTTTAATTTTTGGCAAATGTAGATTATTCCTGTTAAGACCATGATGCAGGAAAAACCAGAAAAAGAGAGAAAATCAACATCCTTCCTCCAGAAACAATTCTCTCTATAATCAAGCTCTGTATGACGCCTGAGTGCAGAGTAGTAAACAGTAACTGTTACAGGTTCCACTGTTTTTGTGAATTACTCTGTTATGTTAACAACACAGATTGATTTGCCATGTGGAATTAATTAAGTGGAAAAACAAAACCTAGCAAA